CACGGGGAGCACTGGAGTCACGGGGAGCACTGGAGTCACGGGGAGCACTGGAGTCACGGGGAGCACTGGAGTCACGGGGAGCACTGGAGTCACGGGGAGCACTGGAGTCTGGACAGGCGACACGGGAACCACAGGAACCTCAGGGGACGCTACCCCTTTAAAGGCTCTAGAGACCCGGGGTATAGCGTCTCTTACTGCGCGTATGCCGCCGTGCCCCAGATGCTCCGGCGATAAGGATAAGCCTCTAACGGAGGTGGCCGCTTGCCGTGGAAGCCGGCCAGGCAGGCAGCGGCGGTGTCGTCCCAGGCGGGGGGGAGAATCGGACGCGGCTTCTCCCAATGCGCAGCAAGGCAAGACCTGATGGAGAGCTCGCCTGCTGCTTCCTCCTGTCGGTTCCCTCGCCTCCTTCTCCATCTGCGCGCTGGCGCTGCTAATCCAGGCACCTCGGGTGCCGGCTTTGGTCGCCGGTCAGCGTCCGGCCAATACAGGCTGGGGTCGCAGAGCGATTAGTTCTCCGGGATCATCCTCGGAACCCCAGGAAGATCTGCCCACAGCCGGTGCGCCGGTGAAGTGCCTGGTCCGTGTTTAGGGAGTTCGGTCATTCTGTCTCGGTACGTGCAGCACGGACAGGGAAAACAGGTGAATGGAAGCCAGGGATCGGGGAATACGGAGTTTAATGCCAACGCACAGCGCACGCAACAAAACAACATCAATGACCAGACTGGGGATACAAACGGAAACGCGGACTAAATACACTGCACTAATGACAACAATCTGAAACAGCTGTAAAACACTGGGATTCCACATGAGGTTAACGAGGGGGCGTGGCACACATTAGGATTGGACGGAGCGGGGTGTGACACTGAGAATGTGAACATATTGAGGAGATACTAGTCTAATGATTACATCATGAAGCAAAGGAGTAAAAACACATCATACAGCATCAGATCCCCCATGGCCCTCCTGAGTGTAACACACAAGCACTTTCTTCAGACTTAGCCCTGGTTCAAATTGGAGAAAAAGCATTAACATGTAAGGGCAGATAGGTCTGCAAAGGAGGACAGCTGACCTCAGCAAAATCCCAGAAAACAGCCCAGTCGTTGCCAGCTGAGACCCATCAATACTGATTCTGAGCCCCATCAATACTGATTCTCAGCCACTTCAAACTGAGCAGGGCTTTCTCCTGATTCAGAGGTGAATGACGGGTAGAGTCAGAGAATTAAAGACGACTTTTGAGAACCAGTCATGAAAGAATATGAATTTTATTTAGCATCAGTTGAGTTTCATCATCAAAGCAATAAAATTGACATTTTAACAACAAACATCACATCAAGTATACATCAATCTTTAAAACCAACTGCCTAGTCTTCTGTAGGTCCCCTTTGTGCTTCCAAAAGAGCTCTGACACATTGAGGCACGGAATCCACAAGACACTCCAAAATCTTATGGAAAACCTTCCCCGAAGAGTGGCAGCTGCTATAGCTGCAAAGGGGGGACCAACTCCATATTGAAGCCTATGGATTTAGAATGGGATGTTGTAAAAGTTCCCGTAGGTGTAATGGCCAGGTGTCTTAATACTTTTGTCCATATAGCGTATCTTTTGTAGTGTAAATGCTAATGCATCTTGGATGCTTCCCGGACAAGGACATTATAGTAACTGAGTGGGGCAGTAATGAAATCTGAACACAAGTGGCCAGTTGGACACCTTGGAGACACATGAAAGACACAGGGGTAAATGGCGAAGTGTTTCGGCTGTCAACCGAAGCTTCAAATTATTCCTGAAGATCTGTGTGACTTTGGCTTCATTTCATACGAGATTTTCAAAGCTGAAACTTATTTCAGCTATCGACCTATTTGCAATTGACCATGGGTCGATTCAGACTTTCCCCTAGTATTGTTAATTAAAAGTAAGTTGTGTTACAAGTTGTAGGTACATGTGAGTGTGAGCTTTGTGTTCAGGTTGTCGCTCTATGATGATGTGGTCTTTTTTTTCCCCATACCACACGCCTCCTATTCCACAGTCTTGTTATCCCCAAATCCTAGACTAGGGTGCGTAACAGTTGGCGAAAAGTGATTCTCAAGTTTGCAGCTTTGAAGGCCAGGAAATTAAACTTCTGATTAGTCGAGATCATCAATAAGTGCTGAACGCATGTGAATTTGTACCTCTTTATTTTTATGGTATTATTTCATTCGTGAGTATATTTCCATATGCATGCATCGACATTATTTGAGCCATTATATATTATGCAAACATTTTCCATTATTGTATCTCACATAACAGTAAAGTTTTACATTAAAATGAACACACTTTTGATGTAGTTCTCCAAACAGTCCCCAGGGCAAACCCAGGACACACTCATGGTTGGCTCGGGAATGGCTTGGTATCTGTGAATTCATTCTTTTGGTCACTACCCAAAATTTGTGACCATAGGTGAAGGTAGGAAAATAGATCAATCAGTAAATTGAAAGCTTTGGCTTCTGGCCACATAACTGCTGACACTGCACTGATCTGTCAGTCAATCTTCCACTCCATTCTTTCCCCAGATATAAATAAAACCACAAGATTGAGTGTTCCACAAACAGGATAAAATCCACATTGCTCCTCCTTGATCCAAGGTTCAATAAATGGACAGATCCTCCTTTCTAATACCCTACCTCAGTAACCTCAGCCCTAGTTATGGGCAGTCCTCCAACTCTGCTTCCTCCAGGGAGGGTGTGTGAGCGAAATTCTGAAGGTCCTCAAAGTGCTCTTTCCACTGTCTGTCTATATCCCCAGTTAAGATCAACAGCTCTCCATCCCTGCTGTAAACAGCATATATAATGCATTATAATAGTCAGTATAAGTCATTATATTGCATTATGAAGGTATTTATAGTGCATTATAGATGGGAGCATCATAGAGCATTCATAATTCGTTTTGTTACAGACTGGTAACAAAATTAAACAGCCTTGGCTTCTCATACTCCACCTTCCTCTGGATTAAGGACTTCCTCAGCGACCGCCCACAGAGTGTCATAATGGGGCCTGACCTCTCCACAGCACTCAGCCTCAACACTGGCTCTCCACAGGGATGTCTGCTGAGTCCCCTTTTGTACACTCTCTACACACACGACTGCACCCCCACCCACCCAAGCAATTCTATCGTGAAGTTCGCGGACGACACGACAGTGGTCTGGCCCATCACAGGGGGAGATGAGTCTGAATACAGGGACAAGGTGGAAAAACTGTCATTGTGGAGCAAAAATAACAACCTGGTCCTTAACACCACAAACACAAAAGAGATCATTGTGGACTTCAGAAGAAATAGATCTGACCCTCAGCCCAAATACATCAATGGGGACTGTGTGGAGAGGGTCTGTAATTCCACCAGAGGGTCATCAACACAGTGCAGAAGATCATCAGCTGCACTCTCCTCTCCTAGGAGGAGCTGTACAGGTCCCGCTGCCACTGTAAAACCTGCAGCATCCTGCAGGACACATCCTACCCGGCACATCACCTGTTCCAGCTGTTACCCTGAGGAAGGCGGCACAGGTCAATAAAAGCAAAAACAAACAGACTGAAAAATAGCACATATCCTAGGGCTGTTGCAATTATAGTATAAATGAATACCGGAAGGGTATGCTCTCTTTCACAAACCTGGGCAATACCTTACCAAGTTAAATCTGTGCAATATTTCAAAAAACTGTGCAATAACCTGCTCTATTATATATTACTTTTTTTTGTACATAAGAAAATTATTTTTAATTATTTTTTTGTTTTTGCTTGTAATATTCTATTCTTTTTGCACTGCAAGGGACTGCACACAACTTTTGTTATACCTTTTTATAATGACAATAAAGTTTCTGATATTGATAATGCATAATAAACATGGCTATAATGTGTTATGCCTTTTTATAAATAGTTATAGCCAGGTGTATAATACTTTATGAATGCATTACAATGCGTTATGGAGGTATCTACAATGCATTATACATGAGTGCTTTAAGTAAAGTGTTATTGAATAAACGATAACGCTTTACATTAAGTGTACCTTCATAATGCGTTCATAATGCATTCACAGAACATTCATAAGCAGCATGCAAGTACACTCTAACATCCTAAAATTCCTTAACAGCTTTAATATACAGTACATTAATAACAAACATTATATGATTATACAATTATAATGTTTATTATTAATGGATATTACAGTTGTTATGGGATGTTAGGATGTTAAGGTATACAAACATGATGTTTATTAATGTTTTATGAATACTTAATAAATGCATTATGAAGGTACACTGAATGTTTTATGAATGCAATATAAAAGCATTATGAAGGTGCAGTTAATGTAAAGCGTTACCGAATAAACTTTTTATTTATATCAGAAAGTAAAGAAAGGGAGAAGAACCAGTGTTTTGAAAGTTGGGCAGCAGCATCTTCGTCGTTATTTTGTTTTAAAATATGAGCCACGCAGCCACTTGGAAGTAAACGCCTAGAAACCCAATATGAGAGGGCGATATACCTGCCGTGACCCGGATTCGAACCGGGGTTGCTGCGGCCACAACGCAGAGTACTAACCACTATACGATTACGGCCGCTTTGGAGAGCCATCTGCCAAACAGCACTACAAGGATGCCTTTCTTCCCTGTCCTTATTAAAATATGACCACCGACAAGTGGAGTATTCAATTTCTTCCCCTAATGATGGTACAACTCTTAGTG